CTGCGAGAGTACCTTGTATTTCCTTTACCTGTGTGTGTCTGTGTAGATGGCTCAGAGAACCAACAAGTTGATAAATTAGACACTTGTGCAACACTTGGGTATCTTTGCGGAAATGTTTCACCACACAGTGGCTTCATCAGTCCAATGCAGAGAAGAATAGTGAAGATTAGAAGGAGCTTGAAGTTATCAGTATTCTTATCAGATTGATGGATTGATTGCATCGACTCCAGGCTGAGGGACTGATTACCTCAAACTACTACTGATCGTCTCCCGCGTGTCCGCGCAAACGTCCACATTTTCGGATGACCGTAGCACGTCACTGGTAATGTCGTCAACAGGTGTGTGATGCTCTGAGAGGCACCACTGTTTCCCCGCTTCTCAATTGCTGTATCAGTTTGAGTGTCATATAAATTGGGTTAGTTTTCATTTTCATGCAGATTTTTGCCAAGACAGACACCAGATACTTGTAGAATCCATGCCAGTCATCCCTCCATCTCCTCCGACCTCTCCCTCCATATTTCAGTGCCTCTCCCTCCATATTTTAGTGTCTCTCCCTCCATCTTTCAGTGCCTCCCACTTCTTCCTGCATCTTTCAGTGCCTCCCACCTCTCCCTGCATCTTTCAGTGCCTCTCCTTCCTCATTTCAGTGCCTCTCCCTCCTTATTTCAGTGCCTCTCCCTCCCTCTTTCAGTTCCTCCTACCTCTGTCTTAATTGCTCCTTCAGTCTCCTACCTGTCCCTCCCTCCTTCCCAACCTCCGTCTCTGTCATTCCAGCAGGAGGTAGCGATGACGCGCACACTTGGCTGTACGCCATCATACCCCCATCACCACACCCTCAATAAATCCCCCACCCCCGTCACCACCACATCCCCACCAACCTCCACACCACATCTTCACCTGGAGTGTCTCCACCACACCCACAGCAACACAGGAAAAAATAACATTAAAAATGAAACTCTGAATGCGTGCAGGATTAAAACCGCAATTAATTTTAAATGTTATAAAACATATTAATATTTTTATATACCAGAGCCAACTGTTCTTACTGTTAGTATGAACACTGATGTTGTAGTGGCCAGACTTAGGCTTGGTTACAAGTACTGACTGATGTTGTAGTGACCAGACTTAGGCTTGGTTACAAGTACTGACTGATGTTGTAGTGGCCAGACTTAGGCTTGGTTACAAGTACTGACTGATGTTGTGGCCAGACTTAGGCTTGGTTACAAGTACTGACTGATGTTGTAGTGACCAGACTTGGTCTTGGTTACAAGTACTGACTGATGTTGTAGTGGCCAGACTTAGGCTTGGTTACAAGTACTGACTGATGTTGTAGTGGCCAGACTTAGGCTTGGTTACAAGTACTGACTGATGTTGTGGCCAGACTTAGGCTTGGTTACAAGTACTGACTGATGATGTAGTGGCCAGACTTAGGCTTGGTTACAAGTACTGACTGATGTTGTAGTGGCCAGACTTAGGCTTGGTTACAAGTACTGACTGATGTTTGTGGCCAGACTTAGGCTTGGTTACAAGTACTGACTGATGTTGTGGGCCAGACTTAGGCTTGGTTACAAGTACTGACTGATGTTGTAGTGGCCAGACTTAGGCTTGGTTACAAGTACTGACTGATGTTGTGGCCAGACTTAGCTTGGTTACAAGTACTGACTGATGTTGTAGTGGCCAGACTTAGGCTTGGTTACAAGTACTGACTGATGTTGTAGTGGCCAGACTTAGGCTTGGTTACAAGTACTGACTGATGTTGTAGTGGCCAGACTTAGGCTTGGTTACAAGTACTGACTGATGTTGTAGTGGCCAGACTTAGGCTTGGTTACAAGTACTGACTGATGTTGTAGTGGCCAGGACTTAGGCTTGGTTACAAGTACTGACTGATGTTGTAGTGGCCAGACTTAGGCTTGGTTACAAGTACTGACTGATGTTGTAGTGGCCAGACTTAGGCTTGGTTACAAGTACTGACTGATGTTGTAGTGGCCAGACTTAGGTCTTGGTTACAAGTACTGACTGATGTGTGTGGCCAGCTTAGGCTTGGTTACAAGTACTGACTGATGTTGTAGTGGCCAGACTTAGTCTTGGTTACAAGTACTGACTGATGTTGTAGTGGCCAGACTTAGTCTTGGTTACAAGTACTGACTGATGTTGTGGCCAGACTTAGGCTTGGTTACAAGTACTGACTGATGTTGTAGTGGCCAGACTTAGGCTTGGTTACAAGTACTGACTGATGTTGTAGTGGCCAGACTTAGGCTTGGTTACAAGTACTGACTGATGTTGTGGCCAGACTTAGGCTTGGTTACAAGTACTGACTGATGTTGTGGCCAGACTTAGGCTTGGTTACAAGTACTGACTGATGTTGTAGTGGCCAGACTTAGGCTTGGTTACAAGTACTGACTGATGTTGTAGTGGCCAGACTTAGTCTTGGTTACAAGTACTGACTGATGTTGTAGTGGCCAGACTTAGGCTTGGTTACAAGTACTGACTGATGTTGTGGCCAGACTTAGGCTTGGTTACAAGTACTGACTGATGTTGTAGTGGCCAGACTTAGTCTTGGTTACAAGTACTGACTGATGTTGTGGCCAGACTTAGTCTTGGTTACAAGTACTGACTGATGTTGTGGCCAGACTTAGGCTTGGTTACAAGTACTGACTGATGTTGTGGCCAGACTTAGGCTTGGTTACAAGTACTGACTGATGTTGTAGTGGCCAGACTTAGGCTTGGTTACAAGTACTGACTGATGTTGTAGTGGCCAGACTTAGGCTTGGTTACAAGTACTGACTGATGTTGTAGTGGCCAGACTTAGGCTTGGTTACAAGTACTGACTGATGTTGTAGTGGCCAGACTTAGGCTTGGTTACAAGTACTGACTGATGTTGTAGTGACCAGACTTAGTCTTGGTTACAAGTACTGACTGATGTTGTAGTGGCCAGACTTAGTCTTGGTTACAAGTACTGACTGATGTTGTAGTGGCAGACTTAGGCTTGGTTACAAGTACTGACTGATGTTGTAGTGGCCAGACTTAGGCTTGGTTACAAGTACTGACTGATGTTGTAGTGGCCAGACTTAGCTTGGTTACAAGTACTGACTGATGTTGTAGTGGCCAGACTTAGGCTTGGTTACAAGTACTGACTGATGTTGTAGTGGCCAGACTTAGTCTTGGTTACAAGTACTGACTTTATGTTGTAGTGGCCAGACTTAGGTCTTGGTTACAAGTACTGACTGATGTTGTGGCCAGACTTAAGGCTTGGTTACAAGTACTGACTGATGTTTGTGGCCAGACTTAGGCTTGGTTACAAGTACTGACTGATGTGTAGTGGCCAGACTTAGCTTGGTTACAAGTACTGACTGATGTTGTAGTGGCCAGACTTGGCTTGGTTACAAGTACTGACTGATGTTGTGTGGCCAGACTTAGGCTTGGTTACAAGTACTGACTGATGTTGTAGTGGCCAGACTTAGGCTTGGTTACAAGTACTGACTGATGTTGTAGTGGCCAGACTTAGGCTTGGTTACAAGTACTGACTGATGATGTAGTGGCCAGACTTAGTCTTGGTTACAAGTACTGACTGATGTTTGTGGCCAGACTTAGGCTTGGTTACAAGTACTGACTGATGTTGTAGTGGCCAGACTTAGTCTTGGTTACAAGTACTGACTGATGTTGTGGCCAGACTTAGGCTTGGTTACAAGTACTGACTGATGTTGTAGTGGCCAGACTTAGTCTTGGTTACAAGTACTGACTGATGTTGTGGCCAGACTTAGGCTTGGTTACAAGTACTGACTGATGTTGTAGTGGCCAGACTTAGGCTTGGTTACAAGTACTGACTGATGTTGTTGGCCAGACTTAGTCTTGGTTACAAGTACTGACTGATGTTGTAGTGCCAGACTAAGCTTGGTTTACAAGTAACTGACGATAAGTTGATGGCCAGACTTAGGCTTGGTTCAATACTGACTGATTTGTATCAGACTTAGCTTGGTTACTAAGACTGCTGATATTATAGTACAAAAATTGATAAACTTTACTAAACTTGTTGTAGTGGCCAGTAAAAATTAGGCTTGGTTAATATCTGGACTGTGTTTTGGCCAGATATTAGCTTGTACAAGGTAATGACGGTGATGTATGGCCAAACTCAATGGCTTAGGTTACAAGTACTGATGATGTGCAGTGACCAACTAGATCTTGGTTACAAGTAAATACTGATTGGCCAGCACTGTCTTGGTTAGTACTGACTATGTTGTGGGCCAGCTAGGCTTTTACATATGACTGATGTTATGGCCAGACTTAGTATATGGTTACACAGTGACTGACTGATTAACTCCAACTTAGGTTGTTAAAGTACACTGATTGTTATGCCAGTTTAACTTATCTTGGTTACAAGTACTGATGATGTTGTACCATGATTAGGCTTGGTTACAAGTACTGATGTGTTGTTAGTGGCAACTAGGCTTGGTACAAGTACTGACATTTTGTAACTAGCTGTCCTGGTTAACTAAGTACTTCTGGCATTTGCAGACACACAGCATGATCAAACCAATACAATATAAGACGTCCTATGGTCAATACTGGGCGCTAATTATTCACTCTATATTAGAGATATTATCTATGACATGTCAAGATATTAATTAAAATAAGATAGATATATTAAGCAAATTTCCTAAATTTGCTTGTAACAGATAAGTGAACAGTAGATACAAATTCGGATGTACTGCTGTTAACCCTTTTGGGGCCTAGTTCCTAGGCCTATTGTATATCCTATGCTCTTGCCCTACCCTCCACAGGCTAGATATGAGGTGCACAGTAACCTGGCCAATACCCTCCACAGGATGGCTATAAGGTACACAATAAACTAGCCACTACCATCCACAAGATACCTATAAGGTACACAATAAACTAGCAACTACCATCCACTGGATGGTAGTTGTGCACACCTCAGGTGTGGTGCACTCCTTTTATTGCTGTTGCTACTGATATGCTAAATTATGATATATTTCTGGTTACAGACACCTGGAGCTGCCGTAACACCCACTGTCACGGTGTAAAGGTAAGTTGTTAACCTGTTGTGTAACGTGTATTGTCTATGTTCACTGTGTTGTCTGTGAGAGGCTTGTGTTTACTGTGTTGTCTGTGAGAGGCTTGTGTTTACTGTGTTGTCTGTGAGAGGCTTGTGTTTACTGTGTTGTCTGTGAGAGGCTTGTTTTACTGTGTTGTCTGTGAGAGGCTTGTGTTTACTGTGTTGTCTGTGAGAGGCCTGTGTTTACTGTGTTGTCTGTGAGAGGCCTGTGTTTACTGTGTTGTCTGTGAGAGGCTTGTGTTTACTGTGTTGTCTGTGAGAGGCCTGTGTTTACTGTGTTGTTTGTGAGAGGCCTGTGTTTACTGTGTTTTTCTGTGAGAGGCTTGTGTTTACTGTGTTGTCTGTGAGAGGCCTGTGTTTACTGTGTTGTCTGTGAGAGGCCTGTGTTTACTGTGTTGTCTGTGAGAGGCCTGTGTTTATTGTGTTGTCTGTGAGAGGCTTGTGTTTACTGTGTTGTCTGTGAGAGGCTTGTGTTTACTGTGTTGTCTGTGAGAGGCCTGTGTGTACTGTGTTGTCTGTGAGAGGCTTTTGTTTACTGTGTTGTCTGTGAGAGGCTTGTGTTTACTGTGTTGTCTGTGAGAGGCTTGTGTTTACTGTGTTGTCTGTGAGAGGCTTGTGTTCACTGTGTTGTCTGTGAGAGGCTTGTGTTTACTGTGTTGTCTGTGAGAGGCTTGTGTTTACTGTGTTGTCTGTGAGAGGCTTGTGTTTACTGTGTTGTCTGTGAGAGGCTTGTGTTTACTGTGTTGTCTGTGAGAGGCCTGTGTTTACTGTGTTGTCTGTGAGAGGCCTGTGTTCACTGTGTTGTCTGTGAGAGGCTTGTGTTTACTGTGTTGTCTGTGAGAGGCTTGTGTTTACTGTGTTGTCTGTGAGAGGCTTGTGTTTACTGTGTTGTCTGTGAGAGGCTTGTGTTTACTTTGTTGTCTGTGAGAGGCCTGTGTTTACTGTGTTGTCTGTGAGAGGCCTGTGTTTACTGTGTTGTCTGTGAGAGGCTTGTGTTTACTGTGTTGTCTGTGAGAGGCCTGTGTTCACTGTGTTGTCTGTGAGAGGCTTGTGTTTACTGTGTTGTCTGTGAGAGGCTTGTGTTTACTGTGTTGTCTGTGAGAGGCTTGTGTTTACTGTGTTGTCTGTGAGAGGCCTGTGTTTACTGTGTTTGTGAGAGGCTTGTGTTTACTGTGTTGTCTGTGAGAGGCTTGTGTTTACTGTGTTGTCTGTGAGAGGCTTGTGTTTTACTGTGTTTGTCTGTGAGAGGCTTGTGTTTACTGTGTTGTCTGTGAGAGGCTTGTGTTTACTGTGTTGTCTGTGAGAGGCCTGTGTTTACTGTGTTGTCTGTGAGAGGCTTGTGTTTACTGTGTTGTCTGTGAGAGGCTTGTGTTTACTGTGTTGTGTGAGCGGTCATTGTTCAGTGATGAGAGTGAGGAACCATATTGGCGGGTATTAATCTTGGTGACCAGGGGTACAGTGTTACTAGTTTTCTGTGTAATAATGACGCATCAATGAGGATCCTGTACTTCCTGGAAGATCCTGTACTTCCAGGAAGATTTTGTGGTTCTTGGAAGATCTTGTGGTTCCTTGAAGATCTTGTCGCTCCTGGAAGATCCTGTAGTTTCAGGAAGATCCTGTACATTTCCAGGAAGATCTTGTGCACTTCATTACATCCAGGAAGATCCCGTACTTCCAGGAAGATGCCGTACTTCCAGGAAGATGCTGTACTTCCAGGAAGATGCCGTACTTCCTGGAAGATGCCCTACTTCCAGGAAGATGCTGTACTTCCAGGAAGATCCCGCACTTCCAGGAAGATCCTGTATTTCCAGGAAAATCTCGATTTTCCAGGAAGATCTCGTTTTTCCAAGAAGATCCCGTACCTCCAGGAAGATCCCGTACTTCCAGGAAGATGCTGTACTTCCACGAAGATCCCGTACTTCCAGGAAGATCTCGTACTTCCAGGAAGATCTCGTACTTCCAGGAAGATCTCGTACTTCCAGGAAGATCTCGTACTTCCAGGAAGATCCCGTACTTCCAGGAAGATTCCGTACTTCCACTGAAGATCCTGTACTTCCAGGAAGATCCCGTACTTCCAGGAAGATCCCGTACTTCCAGGAAGATCCCGTACTTCCAGGAAGATTCCGTACTTCCAGGAAGATTCCGTACTTCCAGGAAGATTCCGTACTTCCAGGAAGATCCTGTACTTCCAGGAAGATCCCGTACTTCCACTGAAGATGCTGTACTTCCAGGAAGATCCCGTACTTCCAGGAAGATTCCGTACTTCCAGGAAGATTCCGTACTTCCAGGAAGATTCCGTACTTCCAGGAAGATCCTGTACTTCCAGGAAGATCCCGTACTTCCAGGAAGATCCCGTACTTCCACTGAAGATGCTGTACTTCCAGGAAGATCCCGTACTTCCAGGAAGATTCCGTACTTCCAGGAAGATTCCGTACTTCCAGGAAGATCCCGTACTTCCAGGAAGATCCCGTACTTCCAGGAAGATCCCGTACTTCCAGGAAGATCCCGTACTTCCAGGAAGATCCCGTACTTCCAGGAAGATCCCGTACTTCCACTGAAGATGTTGTACTTCCAGGAAGATCCCGTACTTCCAGGAAGATCCCGTACTTCCAGGAAGATTCCGTACTTCCAGGAAGATTCCGTACTTCCAGGAAGATTCCGTACTTCCAGGAAGATCCCGTACTTCCAGGAAGATCCCGTACTTCCAGGAAGATCTCGTACCTCCAGGAAGATTCCGTACTTCCAGGAAGATCTGGAAGAATGTTTTTAGTGCTCAGTAATTACTTCTGGTTCTCAGTGACCTTGTGAAGTGCTGAAATTTCTGTTTTTATTCGCCAAAAACTCGTTATAACAACGTTTCGACCGTGACCTAACAGATGGTTCAGGATGGACAGAGACGTCGCCTTAAGGTTGCAAGATCTCTTACGTTCCGTTTTTTGTGGATTATTCCAGACAACGTGTTGTCATTTTTTTTGTATTTTTTTGTTTATTTTCCTGTTTTCACTTTGTAGAATTGTTTTTCTTGTCTGTGTTTTGATTTGTTTTCCTTGTTTTTAGTTCGTAAAAACCACTTTTGTGTTGTTTTGCAATTTATTATATGACTGCAGGTTTTATAGAATATTCTTAAGTTGTCTTGTGTTGTACTGTGTTCACTGTTCTTGTGTTGTCCTGTGTTCACTGTTCTTGTGTTGTACTGTGTTCACTGTTCTTGTGTTGTACTGTGTTCACTGTTCTTGTGTTGGGCTGTGTTCACTGTTCTTGTGTTGTACTGTGTTCACTGTTCTTGTCTTGTACTGTGTTCACTGTTCTTGTGTTGTCCTGTGTTCACTGTTCTTGTGTTGTACTGTGTTCACTGTTCTTGTGTTGTACTGTGTTCACTGTTCTTGTGTTGTACTGTGTTCACTGTTCTTGTGTTGTACTGTGTTCACTGTTCTTGTGTTGGGCTGTGTTCACTGTTCTTGTGTTGGGCTGTGTTCACTGCTCTTGTGTTGGGCTGTGTTCACTGCTCTTGTGTTGTCCTGTGTTCACTGTTCTTGTGTTGTACTGTGTTCACTGTTCTTGTGTTGGGCTGTGTTCACTGTTCTTGTGTTGTACTGTGTTCACTGTTCTTGTGTTGGGCTGTGTTCACTGTTCTTGTGTTGTACTGTGTTCACTGTTCTTGTGTTGTACTGTGTTCACTGTTCTTGTGTTGGGCTGTGTTCACTGTTCTTGTGTTGTACTGTGTTCACTGCTCTTGTGTTGTCCTGTGTTCACTGCTCTTGTGTTGTCCTGTGTTCACTGTTCTTGTGTTGTACTGTGTTCACTGTTCTTGTGTTGTACTGTGTTCACTGTTCTTGTGTTGGGCTGTGTTCACTGCTCTTGTGTTGTACTGTGTTCACTGTTCTTGTGTTGGGCTGTGTTCACTGTTCTTGTGTTGGGCTGTGTTCACTGTTCTTGTGTTGTACTGTGTTCACTGTTCTTGTGTTGTCCTGTGTTCACTGTTCTTGTGTTGGGCTGTGTTCACTGTTCTTGTGTTGGGCTGTGTTCACTGTTCTTGTGTTGTACTGTGTTCACTGTTCTTGTGTTGTACTGTGTTCACTGTTCTTGTGTTGTACTGTGTTCACTGTTCTTGTGTTGTACTGTGTTCACTGCTCTTGTGTTGTTCTGTGTTCACTGCTCTTGTGTTGTACTGTGTTCATTGCTCTTGTGTTGTACTGTGTTCATTGCTCTTGTGTTGTACTGTGTTCACTGCTCTTGTGTTGTACTGTGTTCACTGCTCTTGTGTTGTACTGTGTTCATTGCTCTTGTGTTGTACTGTGTTCACTGCTCTTGTGTTGTACTGTGTTCATTGCTCTTGTGTTGTACTGTGTTCACTGCTCTTGTGTTGTACTGTGTTCACTGTTCTTGTGTTGTACTGTGTTCACTGTTCTTGTGTTGTACTGTGTTCACTGCTCTTGTGTTGTCCTGTGTTCACTGTTCTTGTGTTGTACTGTGTTCACTGTTCTTGTGTTGTACTGTGTTCACTGTTCTTGTGTTGTACTGTGTTCACTGTTCTTGTGTTGTACTGTGTTCACTTCTCTTGTGTTGTACTGTGTTCACTGTTATTGTGTTGTACTGTGTTCACTGTTCTTGTGTTGTACTGTGTTCACTGTTCTTGTGTTGTACTGTGTTCACTGCTCTTGTGTTGGGCTGTGTTCACTGCTCTTGTGTTGGGCTGTGTTCACTGCTCTTGTGTTGGGCTGTGTTCACTGCTCTTGTGTTGGGCTGTGTTCACTGCTCTTGTGTTGGGCTGTGTTCACTGCTCTTGTGTTGGGCTGTGTTCACTGCTCTTGTGTTGGGCTGTGTTCACTGTTCTTGTGTTGGGCTGTGTTCACTGCTCTTGTGTTGGGCTGTGTTCACTGTTCTTGTGTTGGGCTGTGTTCACTGTTCTTGTGTTGGGCTGTGTTCACTGCTCTTGTGTTGGGCTGTGTTCACTGTTCTTGTGTTGGGCT